TAATTATCTTAACACTAGGCTTTATGGCCTCCAGGTTTGAGTAATGCTGGTGAAACAAATTCCAATAGCTTTCTCTCTTCTGATACTTTTCAAAGTCTTGAATAAACTTCTCTAAGAAGAGGACCTCATTTAAAATAGAATGTCTTGTGTCAGGGTGAAGGTAAGAGTCTAGGCGATATTTTAAGAAAAAGATGATGAAACACTTCATCTCACTTTTGGTTGTGAAAATTGAAACAAATACATGAAGTTAAAAGATATTGCAAAGTAAAATTTGTGAGGCTTTAAGGCTGATTTGTTCTAGTTCTAAAATGGTGATGAAAGAATAAAAAATGACTATATATAGTTTTGAACCTAGTAGAATGGTGAAATCTGAAAGCAAAAAAGTAAATTTTAATCAGGCAACTACTTGAAATACTTTAGTTTGTTCAGAAAAGTTAATTTGTAAATAGTATTTTTTTTCCTGAAGTCGTTTCTGATAGAAGCATAGATGAGAATCTAAAACTGAAAATACGGACCCTTGATTGCAATAGGTGAGATAATTTCACTTCATTTTCATAGCAGGAAAGAAAAAAGCAAATGAATGAAAAAAGAAGCAGTTATCAGAAAAAGTAACAGGCGTTGTAGTAAATGCACAGGATCTGGAGCAGGACTTCCAAGATTCCAGTCCTGGGTTTTTAAATGACGAGCTGGGTATTTTTGGACAAGTTGTTTTGCTTCTCTGTACCTCTACTTCTTTGCCTATAACATGGGGATAGTAATAGTGATTTATTTCATTAGGATATTGTGAGCATTACATAAGTAAAACTTCTTTTTCTTAGGAGGTACTCTGTATAAATCATAAAGGCAATAAGGAAATCAATAATTTTTCCTGTCACAAAATAAGGAAAGATGCTAAAAAAGGCTCAAATACACAGAAAAATTTGAGAATAAGTAACTTTTTAAAATAGGAAATTATTGGAAAGTTTAAAAAGTTAGTTTCAGTTCACATGGTGAGAGCAAAGTTATTATTTCCTAAAGGAAAATAGGCTGGTTAGGTAAAAAGGAAAAAAATGGTGTGGTGTGGAAACTGCTGATTTGAAATTTTGGATGTACAAAGGAGAAAAATATAGGTTAGATCAGAGAGGTTCAGAAAACCCTGCTACTCAAGAAGGAATGACTTATATTAAAGAATGAAAAGGAGCTTGAAAAGGCAGAGGACCTGGAGATAAGATTACTGGGGGAACAAGATGACTGAGGAGTGGCTGAAAGATCCAGTTTAGGGTGTTAAGATGTAGCCTGTGAAGTATTTGAGTAGGAGATCACAGTTTTGTCTCAGTGAAAGCAATGTGAAGACGGGGTTGCGGGGAGAGTGGTTTGAAAAACTGACAAAGTGAGGAAGTCAATTGTGGTAGATAAGGAAGCTCATTCTGGGAAATAATGATTTCTTTCAAGTAATAAAGAATATCAGTTCAAAGAAAGATAAAATACTGAATGGCTGGAAAGAGGGATAAAGTATAGAATAGAAATTATGAGGAAAATAAGCAAGCTATGGAATGCGTATATTGTGAAAGACGTCTTGAAACTGGACAACATAAATTTATATTAGGTCTAAGTTGTTGCAGGAAGTTCAGACATTGGAAGAGAGGGAGGATATATGTCAGGATAAAAATCCAAAGGTATTAATTACATGTTTAAATATTTACCCATTATTTTTTATAGAGCAGTATACAGGTTTACTTAACAGAACTCGAAACAGGTTTGGGAAGATAATTACTTAAGTAATGTTACTCAGCTAGTGATAGGTTCCAAGTTACAACTGAGATTTATTGTTCATTGCTGTACTTACTGTATCTCTAAATATCAGAAGTTCTTGACAATCTATCACTATAGATTTGCTTGAAGGTAAGCTTTATTATAGAGTTTATTTATAGTAATATTCTCTGGCCCAGCAAAAATTTCACTTGTTAACAAGAATACATTTTATAATTTGTAATTACTTTTTATTTCTATTCCCAAAAGCCTAGTTAATATCTATATTTAACTAAATACCTGTTGTCAAATCTTAAATTTTTAAAAACTATTCTCCAAAGAATCCATTATTTTAAAATTATAAAATACTTCAAATTTTTCTGCAATAAGTTATTAAGCCTTCATTGTTCAAAGCAGAATCTTTAAACAGCCATTCAATTCATGTAAACAAAATGCTCTTTTCCATTTGAAAGGTAAAATTGTGGTAAAGAAATGAGTGCCCTTCATAATCACTATTTGATAAATGTAAAAAATAAATTTTAGAGGAGTATGTCCTTTGTAAATGTTTTAACAGATATTTTAATATATTATTACTATATGGATATTTAGTTGCATCTTCATGGTGTATATCAGAAATTTTATTAAATGATTTTAACTGGAAACACTATTTATAAACTATTAGGGAAACAAACATTGTATATTTATATTGTATACTGAAATACTTCTTTTGGATTTTTCCATTCTATTTATTTGTGTGGTTGAGAACAACTGTCAAAGCTGTTTCATTAATTAATAGAAACTTATGTGTTTATTAAAACAGTTTTTGCAGTTAGTATTCAAAAGGTAACTGAAATGTAGGCTTTCTGGAATCTATTATAAGTTGATTAGTAAAGGGAAAAGACTTTTTGTGCAGTATCTCCATGAATAATAAATAGCTGGAAACTCATCTCACATTTATTTCACTATATGTTGGTGTTCATTATTTCAGAAATTTAAACCAAGAAAATATATTTAGAGACAATTTGCTGTAATATTTTGACACTTATTATCCCTTAAAGCCCAAACTCATATAATTTTTACCTTTTTAGTTAAAATATTAAACTCTATCTTCTTATGTTTACCTAATAACCAAACCTTTAATGATTTTAAACACATTACTATTATTATTCTAGAAGTTTAAAATTATTGTTTTTATTTCCGTGGTTAAGAAACAGCATTAGAATTAAGGACAATGTTGATGAATCTGAGTTATATCAATTACTAATAATACATGCCCAATATTTCATCTATATGCCAAGCAGAAAAAAGCTATTAAATAAATTGATAGAAGGTAATATTAATTCTGAGCCACTTGATATTACTACTTTTTCCACATAGTTCTTTGTACTATTTCAAGACCTTGTTGAGAGTTCATCTCCAGGGCAAGGCAGATGCGCTTCAGGTTGATTTTACCCTGATAGAAACAGAAGAGCCCAATACACACACACACCTGGGCTTCTGTAAGGTTAATGAACTTGGATTCTAACCTATATTGGGGAAAATGGTCTCTAGATTTATTTCACATCTATTTAGTCAGCTTTCAGATGTATGCTAACTACTCACAGGAATTATCTGCAATCCAAGTTGTAACCAGAGATGAGAAAAACAAAACCTTTACTGTTTAATTAATAGTAACATGAAGTTAGTATCACATGTCCATAGCATAATATTGTGAGGAAAAAAAAATATTAGGGCAAATTTTAATGACAGAAAATTTAAGTCCCTTGAAATGATAGTAATTTATTGCAGAAAACAAAGGATTTGAAGACTTTTTTTCTTTGTTTATGATGTTTTACCTTTGAATGTAGCTCCTGCCCCGTCTTTATATATGATTAAACCTTGGTGTGACTTGATATGAAGTCTAGTTTTCCTCAAAGTATCTGAGGTTTTAACTTAAGAAGAACTAAGACCCCCTTAAGGCGTGGACTATTTAAAGCATGATCTGATATTAGAAGCAATCTTAGTTTTTGGAGAACAGTGAATTAATTAGGAGCCTGCAAATGTCTTATTTTTGTCTTTTACTTTTAACTGCTTTATTCTATCCAAATTACAACTTTTGAATTAAAATGCATGACTATAACTATATTAAGTAATTTCCTCTACTTTTCCCTGATACTGCTGAACCTTTAAAGTTATGCTTTTGCTCATATCTGAGTAATTTTGATGGATACATATTAATATTAAACATAATGTTCATATAGAACTGTTTTGTCTATACTATAAAATTAGCCCACTTCACCCATTAAGAAATATCATGTATTGAGGGTACTATTTAAGCAATGCTATTTGCTTAGTGAAAATATACATTTTTATAAAGAAAAAATCTTAATATTTTACACTTTAAGGTTATTCTTTTAGACATGAAAAGCTTTTAAAATATTTTAATGAGCTATTTAACAAATATATTACATTCTCATAAAACATATGTATAGTATGTAAGTGTGTTTAAAAGTGAAGTCAATAATAAAAATGATTCCTAATATTTTGATGATTACTTTTAACACAGGCTGATGATACTACAATATATTGTACCCTTCATCTATATTAAATTTTAGTGTTTAGCATAAGTGGTAAAGTGTTAAAATGCTATTAGTTACTTGTTTATTAATATGAAGTTAATGTTTACATTTTCAGACGGGCTCTAAATTAATTAAAAATTAATACTTTAGAAGATATTGTGATATTAAGAACTCAGAACTACACATTTAATTGCTTTTAAGTATGGATCCCTAAATTCATGTGGAATCAACTTGTTGGTGATGTTCAACATATTAAGTAGGTGGATACTTTTTGCCAAAGTAAACTTCATTTCACCACTTCTTCCAATCCCCGACTGTATTCATTGATAGGAAAATGGCTCTTTCAGTTTTACTCATTGAATTTCTTGAATTTTTGTTTGACATCTCTTTTTCCCCAAGAAAACAAAGGGAAAGAAAAGAGACTACTATTCATGAATATGGTCAGGATACCTTTAATACTCATGTGAATTTTTATCAGTCACCATCATGATTTCAAGTCATGAATTTATTTTTACATGCTTATTATGCATGCATATTTACATGCATTAGTTATTTGATTGATCTTAAATTCCATTAAATTTGAATGACTAGGAGAAAGATTTGTTTATAGGATTTTGTTCTCGTTATATTACATTTTATTTTATTTTGATTTATTTAAATAATCAGTTTAAGGCTTATAAAGGTTGATTTGCTCCTGAACTGCTTTGTTCCCAGACATTGCCATCTTCCCCAACTACCACCAAGTCCTCTCCATCTGACCCCATGACCACCTCCAGAGCTAATCAGGTACAGTATCATCCTGTCATCTACACCATACTTTTCACGGGTGATTGCCTGCACACTGGAGAGAAAACAATGGTGGGTTAAGGATGTATTCGTTCATTCACAAAGTGCACCATGATCAGAGTCCAAAAAACTGAGAAAGAAATAATTAATAATTTCTGAAAATTTATATGAATTTTTAACTTTAGGTAACAAAAATTTATTCAGGTGGTAGACTATTAGAATTTTGGATGTTCCCCTTAAAATTATGATGACTTTATGGAGCTCTGAGGGTTATTTATTGAGTTGATGTTTATGATCTCCCTTATTATTTCCTCCTAGGATTCTTGGTATATAGCTTAAGAATATCATATATGTAAAAAATATGTTTAAATATGATTTGTTGAGCAAAGGTATACCTTTAAAAGTGAATGCATTTTATTTGCTTTTTATTTCAGATATTCCTTACTTTGTAAACAATTTTAAACTTTGGTTGAAAAACATTTGTAGCAAACTAAAAGTAACTGAAAATTGGTATTTGTCATACTTTTAATGCTGTTGAACAACATAGGAAATGGTATTTTCTTAGAATTTAATACTAGTATTTTCTTTTGTGGAGTGGCAAACTGCAAGTATAAATATATCTTAATAGTTTGATTCAATGATTGTGTTGGTACTGAATATTTGTAGGTCATTCTTCAAAAGTGTGGTTAATTTTGATACATTTAAGGAAATTATATAAAATATTTTATGTAATTCAGACATACTGTACTTTAACTTCACAATTGTTAAAAATATATTTATTAAAATGATTAAACACATATTCATTTTGTCTGAGTTGAGCTTCATTTAGGTGAGAAATGTTTTCTTTAATATTTCCAATTTTTTACTAATACAAGGCCTCATGGGATTATTTAAATATTAAAAATAGCTTATCTTTTAAATATATTTCATAGAGTTGGCTAATAAATTATAAACACTGAACTGTATTTGCTAAGTATATTAAATGTAGCTTTTGCATATCATCTAATATAAAGCTATCAGAATTATTTTGTTCATTATTGATCTAATACTTTTGCAACCTCAGAGAAAGTTTAAAAATAATAACTGGAAGCAAAACTAACAGGATGTTAGGAGCTTGATTTTATTTTATGCAGTAGCATTCCCTCAGACAAAAATACTTTATAGTGCTTACATCTTAGACCCAGTAAATTGTTTTAAAAGTATACATCTCTGGTGATGAAACTGAGCACTTCTCTTTGAAGGAAATAGTACTGTGTAAAGTGAAAACCAAGCTAGTATTATTGATGTATGAAGTTCAAAATATGTGTTGTGTGTGTGTGAATACACCTATTTTCACTTTATGTACCTTATCTTTTTCTATATAATCTTTAATGTATTTTTTCATGCCCATTTAGTCCCCATTTAATCCCCTTATGCCACTCTCCCCCAAGCAATCGCCACACTGTTGTCCATGTCCATGAGTCCTTTTCCCTTCTGCTTAATCCCTCTACCCCCTCACTTCCTGCCCCCTTCAACGAGCTGTCATCTTGCTCTCTATCTATGAGTCTATCTCTATTTTGCTTGTTAGTTCAGTTTGTTCATTAGATTCCACATATGAGTGAAATCATATGGTATATACCTTATGTGTTATATGAGCTTCAATTATATGATATAGAAAACTATTGGGAAAACAAATGACTTTATATTTTTGATGTTTCTCTTGTACTTCATCCTTCTCTCTTTTCTAAACAAAAACAAGAAAATTGCAATAAAAACAAAACTTATGCTTTTCCTCAATGTAAAAAAATTCTGGATCTAGAAAGAAAAATTTTGTCTATTAAATTCAGTTTGTGCATTTTTTCACTTATATGAACATGTGAATTTTGATTTCTTTAAAAGACTAATTATGTTTAAGTTTACTAATATATTTTTACCCTTTAGATAAGTTACTGCATCCACCTCTGCCAAATCTAATGTTTTTCTGATTCAAAATAGTAAGTCGCTTGTGATTTTATCCTCTGTCCATTATACCCAGTTATATTTATTAAATGTATTTTATTTATATTTGTTTCATTCTGTTCTTGTACAAACAAGGATAGTATCTCCCGGACAACATGAGGCAAAATATAAAAGAAGACCATAACAAATTCTGTAAATGCATGGAGGAAAGTATAGTTATCACCCATATTGATGTTATTAGTAGTTTTCCCTACAGTATTTCCCAATAGATTCTACTTAGGTAATTTGGTTTTTGGTGTTCATGGATCACAGTTATTTTTTGTGTATAAGTCCTATTTAAATCAGTATCACTTTAATGTGTAGACTTATATCTATAAGGGTAATGGGGATAGATAAATGGGTTCTTACATGTGATTAAATTAGACTTTTAAACCTATAAAAATAACTTTTATTATTGGTTTAAGTTTGCTTTATTCTTATCCAGCAATTTAGCAGATGTGTCTCCAATTTTATAACTAGAAGAAATGGAACAAACTCAGAGCATTCCAATTTAAATTAAAAGTTATTGTTTAATGTGTTCTAGCTAATATAATACCCTCAGCTGTTAAAAGTAGCTATAAACATTTTTCCATGTGAATTTTTATAGACCATTATAAAATACATCAAGAGTGTGTTATTTTCATTTTTGTTGTTATTTTAATAAGCAAAAGAGTGATGATTGATTTCTGTTTCCAGAATAGTTTGTCTATGATTCAATAAAAATAAATTAGGGGCTATTATTATTTGTTTAAACCCCAAAATAAAAAGCTCAGAAAATACATCATAAAGTTAGTTTTATCTACAGTTTCAACATTTAAAAATATTTTCTAGTCTTTCAAAAATGACTTTCACATACTGAATTTTACTTTTCTGTTCTCAAGTTTTCACAGGTCAGACTGACAGACTATAACTAGTGTTGTGGCTCTATAATAACTTGCCTCTGAAAATTAAAGGATTATCATATGAGAAGTTTTACAGAATGGAGGCTAAAAGTCAAGAAGGGAGTCAAATTGCCTATGATCACATCCTTGTTCTGCCACTTACTTGCTGAGTAAATTGAGTTCAGTTTTCATTTATTGAAATTCAAGCCCTGGCTGGTGTGGCTCAGGGGATTGAGTGCTGCCTGGGAACCCAAAGGTCACCGGTTTGAATTCTAGTCATGGCACATGCCCGGGTTGTGGGCCAGGTTTCTGGCTGGGGGTGTGTGAGAGGCAACCAAGAGATGTTTCTCTCCCTCTCTTTTTCCCTCCCCTCCAGCTAAAAAATACAAAAATAAAAACATACAAAAATTATTTACAGAAAAAATTCAAATGATAATAGCATCCTATAAGATCAAAGTAAGAAAAAGTCAGTTTCATTATTCTTAGAAAAGTAGTTTCTAGAATGTAATATTCTCCACATTAGATTGTTATACTTATTTTATTTTTTTTCTGAAATATCTCTCAAGTAATAATGAAAAAGGAAAATTATTCTTTTTTTACATATTTTTTAAGATTGTATTTATTTATTTCTAGAGAGAGGGGAAGGGAGGGAGAAAGAGAGGAAGAGAAACATTGATTGGTTGCCTCTCACACACCCCCAACAATGGGGACCTGGCCTGCAACTCAGGCATGGGTCCCCATTGGAATTGAACTGGTGACCTTTTGGTTCACAGGCCCACACTCAATCCACTAGCTAAACCAGCCAGGGTAGAAACATTGTTCTGTAAGAAACTAAGTGATATAGCATATAAAAACTGAATTTTATCTTTAAAGAAAAACTGTAAGATAATATTGCTGCTTTTTCAAGTCTAAAATATTTCTGTAATTAAAGTCTCTATTCTTTTCCATTAGTGATTACTTTATTTTTATTTCATTTTTATTGAGTTTTTCCTATTACCATTTATCCCCGTTTTACCCTCCTCTCCCCAGCAGTCACCACACTGTTGTACACATCCATGAGTCCTTTTGCCTTTTTGCTTGATCCTTCCACCCTCTAACCCCTCCCATAGCAGTCATCCTGCTCTCCATCTGTGAGTGAGTCTCTGTTTTGTTAGTTCAATGTGTTCATTAGATTCCACATATGAGTGAAATCATATGGTATTTGTCTTTCTCTGACTGGCTAATTTCACTTAGCATGATGTTCTTCAGTTCCATCCATGCTGTTGCAAAGGGTAAAATTTTCTTCTTTTTTAACAGCTGGGTAGTATTCCATTGTGTAAATGTCCCATAGTTGTTTTATCCACTCATCAACTGATGACACTTGGGCTGCCTTGATAACTTGATGATTGTAAATACACTTCAGTGAGCATAGGGATGCTTACGTTCTTTCAAATTAGTGTTTTGGATTTTTTTGGATGTATTCCCAGAAGTGGGATTGCTGGGTCAAAAGAAAGATCCATGTTTAATTTTTTGAGGTATTTCTATACTGCTTTCCTGGCTGCACCAGTCTGTGCTCCCATCAACAGTGCTAAAAGGTTGCTCTTTCTCCACATCCTTATCAGCACTTGTTGTTTATTGATTTATTGATGATAGCCATTGTGACTGTTGTGAGGTGGTATCTCATTGCAGTTTTAATTTGCATTTCTCTAATGGTTAGTGATGTTGAGCAACTTTTTATATGTGTATCAGCCATATGTATGTCTTCTTTGCCCATTTTTTATTGGATTATTTGTTTTTTTTCAATGTTGAGTTTTATAAGTTCTTTATAAATTTTGGATATTAACCCCTTATTAGATACATTGGCAAATTTGTTTTCCCATTTCATGTGCTGTCTTTTTATTTTGTTGATGATTTCCTCTGCTTTGCAAAAACTTTAGTTTGATGTAGTCCCACTTGTATATTTTATCTGTTTTCCTTACCTAAGGAGCTATATCAGATAAAATATTGCTACGAACAATGTCCTAGATTTTATTGCCTATAGGATTCTTATGCTTTTGGGTCTAACATTTAAGTCTTTGATCTATTTTGAATTTATTCTTATGTGTGGTGTAAGAAGGTGGTCTAGTTTCATTTTTCTGCACATATCTGTCCAATTTTCCCACC